GGGGAGAAGACCCGGCCGACCGGGAGGGGTGGGGGAAGTGAGCAAATTGGCTGGCAGGGAGCAGGACCTGGGCACTTGCTGCCTGTCCCGTGCAGGCTCCCAGCAACGCATGAGTGAGGAGTAGGCCGACAGGGCTCCCGGCAGCAATCGTGGCCCCGCCTCCCAGCTGGGATTCCCAGCCGCTCCCCCACCCACGCCAGGCTTCCGACCAGTGTGCAGCCAGAAAAATCAGAAAATACTGGACAGAGCACACAAATACCGGACTGTCCAGTACAATACCGGACACCAGGCAACCCTATATAGAAACAGCACTAGTTATGTTAGTGATCTCTTAGCAATGGCTGAAGAACAAATGATTATTTTAGATCTGTCAGTTCACTTCCCTACTTTCATCATAAATGTTTCCTCTCATATTGCCGTGGCTGTTAGTTACTAGCATGCCTGGAGGAAATAGCTCTGGGTTTAAGAGAGAGGGTTTGTTTGTTTTTAAAGAGATACATCAATTAAAGAACCGAACTTTTAATAGGAGAATGTCTTAAGTTTATAAACACAAATCTAAGAAAAGTCAATGTGTGTCTTCAGAAAAATGTACTGAGGCTTTCATTAACAAAATGGCTGTTTGAATTCAGAGACCAGCTGCAAGATCCTAGACTAGATACTAAGGACAAATTCTGCCTCTCTACTTATCCCTTTTTCCCTTCCATTCTAATCACTGTAACATCATAGTACCTTGCAAGAAAATAAAGCAGGCCTTTCTTTTGCTGGATTGGTTTCAATTCTCTTCCTTCCCAAGGTGGAAAGGGATATTGGAGACCACCAACAAAGATTAATGAGACCTTAAGCAAAGATCAGTCTCCTAGCAGGGGTGGATCTTTAACTAAACAAGGGGGAGATGGTAAAAACCAGAGATAATTTAAAGTGGTCACTAAAGCAGGAACAATTTATTGGCCAAAGTCCTTGTTGAGAGTATATTTTCAGTGGATTTTACTAAGTGCACAATTCAAAAAAATTAACCACACAGTAAATTGCATGTATACAGCTCAGATTACGTCTAAATTTGAATACTCTCATTCTTGCTTGTTTCTAATGTTAACTAGTTAGAATACTTCTAATTACTAAGGGGTCAACACTGGGCTCTGATTATCTTCCAATATTATGTATGACTGGTATTTGAGTCAAATGCATCCCTCCCCTGCAGTGGGTTGCTTCATTTAGAAAGAAAACTGAAAACAAAGTGATCGAGGTGCACACAGCATTGCTAAAATGTATTCAGCTATGCAGATGTCTAAAACAGATTGTGAGTGGCAGAGCCACTGAAGGAGGGGAGGGGGAAAACAAAGGGGACAGCTGCTCCAGGGTCCAATGATTTAAAAGGGTACAGGGCTCCCAGCCACCACCACAACCCCTACTTCAGCAGGTGCCACAACCGGAGGCCAGGCCCTTCAAATTACAATGTGTACCCTACAGGCTCAACGGCACTGAAGGGCTGGCTGCGGGAGGCCAGCCCTGAGTAGGATTGCCAGGTGTCTGGTATTCTATCTGGTATTTGCACTCTTGGTCTGGTAAAAAAAATCAGAAAATACTAGACATGAGCAATGTCCGGTATTCTCTAATTTTTCTGGCTGTGGGAAGGGGGAGCGGCTGGAAGGCAGGGCCATGATCAGTGCTAGGAGCCTGTGATTGCGCAGAAGCCTGGCGGGGGCGGGGGGAGTGGTTGGGACTCCCTTGCCCCCACCAGACTTCTGCGCAATCACAGGCTCCTAGCGCTGATTGTGGCCTCGCCTTCCAGCTGGGACTCCCAGGCTGGGAGGTGGGGCCACGACTGGCGCTGGGAGCCTGGGAGTCCCAGCTAGGAGGCGGGGCCATGATGGCTGGGAATGGCTGGGAGAGGCAGTACTTATTAGCCTGTGCTCCTTTTTTTTTTCCTTGGCAAAAATTTTTAGCCCACGTTGGGTTGTTTTGGGTTTTTTTTGCTTGACCAAAATACTGCATGTCTGGTATTTTTGGGGGGAGCCATCTGGCAACCCTAGCCCCCTGCCCTGCCCCTTCCTCTCAGGCTTACCCCAGGGCCTGGTGAAGTCTCTCATCAGCCCTGGTGAATGGTATAATCAAAGGTGGGAGACAACTACTGACAGAAGTCCAGGGCACGGCCCATTAGCTACCTATGAACAAGAAATCTCACCTCATGTCCCCGTTGGGGTTGCCAGGTGTCCAGTATCCAGTCTGGCTCCTGTCCAGTAAAAAAAATTCAGAGAATACCGGACACCTGGATTTTTCCCCAGCCAGGAGGTAAAAATGGCGGGCACCTGGCAACCCTACAAACACTCAACGCCCGGCCTCCCAGCCCCCAGCCCTCTCAACCCAGCCCTCATGCTTACCTGGTTCCCCAAGACTGACGGCCAAAAGACCTAGGGGAAGCAATGCTTTCCCCTGGGTCTTAGTGCTCAACCACTCCCCTGTTCCTATCCCTGCACTAACTCTGTTTTATTTTAATTTTTTTTTGCTCAACAACT